GTTTCCATTTTTTTTTCTCTATCCCACTCTCTGACACCAATTTGTTGTGTATCTGCTCGTTTGTTAATTTCCGGTATAAATTCAGCGATACAAGTCCTTTCTTAATCAAAACTAGTTCATTCTTTCTCGATACAACTTTGTAATACACAGAATTTCCACAGTCACTTTAAACTTAACAACCTTTATAACACACAGTGATTCACACACTTTACTTATGGTGCCTACTGTTCGCTTGACTTGGTTATCTATATCTTCAAGCTATCTGCATATCTATATCTTGCTGCCTTTATTTGCCGGGCTTATATACTAAAAAAGAGGGTGCCTGGCAAACACTTGGACATTCGCGAGGTTCCTCGATAAGTCATGATCTTTCTAGAAACTCCAGCGCGCATGCTCCCAGTGTCACGTGACTTCCGCTGTTGTAACAATATTTAATTAGACTTCTTACTTCCAGTGGTGTATACATATTTACTTGAACAACTGTTAACTCTATACTTTCCTAATTATCCATATACAGTTGTATATGTACAGTTATTTTACTAAATATCTACAATATTCTTTTCCTCTTAGCTACAGAGGTGTATCTACCAATATTTTACTAAATATTTATTATATTATTTTCCTCTTAGCTACAGTAGTGTATCTGCTATTATTTTTACTAAACATCTACAATATTCTTTTCCTCTTAGCTTTAGTTGCATATCTACCCTTATTTTATTAAATATCCACTGTATTATTTTATTCTTACCTCTAGGGGTGTATCTACTACTGCCCTCACAAATATCCTGTACTTCTGTCCATGCTGTAAGCGGCGATTCAGGAAGCCATTATAGACTTTCCCATCTCCTAGAAGAAAGTTTTGGGGCATGTTGCGTCTTAGGAACTTAGCAGTAATGTAAGGCTCACGTTGATCTAAAGATGTCTTCATGAGCTGCAAAAAAAATATATATATATATATATATTAAATAGAAATTGTCAAAGATATTTTTAAACTAGAGATATCAATATGTTTGATGAGGTTTATCTAATACTTAGTTTATGTACCAGCTGTTTTGTTAGTGTGAAGAACAAACATGTACAATTAAAGACACAACAGCCAATAGTTACACTCCTTATGAAAACGAGAAAAAGAAACAGTTCCTATTTCATTTGCAGGTATGACATGTATGACTGTAACATATTATCATGGGCTAATGAGAGTTTTACTCAATATAAAACAAAATCTAGTACCTGATGTTTAATACAGATCCTTACAATACTAAGACAGTTTTATTTGAAAAGGAAACAAACTTTTGTACAAAAATAAGTATCTAATAAGTTATGTTTTATTGCATTCCTAAAAACAACATAAACTAAGTAATATTTCCTTTTATCTAGGTCAGTGATTCTCAACCTTTTCCAATATCATTCACCCTATAAGTTTTTCACAACAGTTCACTCACTGCCATTCACCCCATCATTCACTCTGATTCTGATCTAATTAACTTCTGGGTGAACCATTCACGCAATTGAGAAGCATTGATCTATGTAATGAATCACTATACTTTCTTGTACTCCTCATAAAAAAAATGAAATAAAGTAATATTTTCCTTTTATCTATGTAATGAATCACTATATTTTCATATACTCCTCATAACAAAAGGAGATAAAGTAATATTTTCCTTTTATCTATGTAATGAATCACTATATTTTCTTGTACTCCTCATAACGACATGAAATAAAGTAATATTTTTCTTTTATTTACAAATTCAAATCTAACAATAACTCATTCTGGAACTCTCCATAGTGGTCATCTTAAACTATATCTATTCACATCTAGATGCGTAATGATCCTAAATATAGGTTTTTTACCTCATCCTCTGTATATGTGTCAGTGTTCTCTCTAGCTTGTTCTTCTGTGACAACTATGAGGTAGTAGTGACTTATCAAACCATACTCTTCCGAGGCTTGGGGTAATATCACTTTAATTTCCTGGTTATTCTTGATCCCAAGGTGATCAGGCTTGACCATTGGCCTTGGAGCTGGAGGACAAATGATTAATATTGTACACAAGTTATACGCCATGTACAGAGCACATGAAAAGTTTAAAAAATATCTGGTTTCAAACGTTTTTAAAGCAGGGGGGCAAATGTTGTATCTCATTCCCTCCCAAACTAATTTCTAGTAAAAATGATGACTGATAACCTATAAAACATTATACATCAGTAATATTTAACTTAATAAACAGCTCTATATATGGTTTGATTTGTTACAAAAAAAAGAAGAGTAGATATACCCATAAATATACAGACCAAAGAACATGGAAAACAAACTCAGTACTTAAATAACTATTTCATGATAAAGGTTTTTCTTAAGATATTTGAAACATGACAATTTGAATAACATATGTATTTATATATATATATATATATATAAAGGAGTCACTTACTTAAAAGCAGTAATTGTGAGATGTTAAAGTAGTCACTCTAGAAGGGTAATTGTCAGTAGATATCAGAGTAGGCACCTTAGTAGGGAATTGTGGGTACATATGTCAGAGTAGTCACTCGAGAAGGGTAACTGTGAGTAGATGTTACAGCAGTCACTCTGTTAGGGTAATTAAAAGTAAATGTAAGAGTAGTCACTTTAGTAGGATAATTTAGTAGACGTCAGAGTAATTACTCAACAAGCCACAAAGGTAATTGTTAGTAGATGTCAGAGGGGAAATTGTGAGTGGATGTCATTGTAGTCACTCTGGAAGAGTAATTTTGCAATGTCATTGTAACTTCCTATAGATAAACTGTGATAAACTTAATTCACTGTTTAAAAACAATGTTTGTGTATTGGATATTGTCTGTCAAAATAATCTAGAAATGCTAAACGTTACATTTTTAAGCATATTTTCTAATTTGATTGCAAGACAGAATGATGTGTTATCATCTTTATTTTTTTTTAATACTTTGAATACTGTTCTGAATTCCTTCACAATGCATAAGAGTTGTTTTTAAAAAGGTGTAAAAGTAGTTCAAAGTTAAAACTTTGATTTATTGTCAAAGAATACTAAATTTATTTGATCTTGTTTAAATATGAGGAAGTAAAGCTACTGTATTACAAAAATATTTATCAGCGTGTTAATGTTTTCTGTTATTGAAAGTTAAGATGAAATAATAAAACACACACCTTCCCAGAATCTTATTATTCAGACTTTGATTTAAGTCGAAAAGAACTGGACTTGCTTGGCTGAAATCATATGATTATAGTTACAGGAATAGGCGTGAAACTAACTTAGATTAAATTTCGTGATACTAGCTAATCATGAATCAGTTTATCATTTAATTTTACTCACCCAAATGTTACCTATAGTTGTTTTATAGGTAAGTTTAACCAAAAAATTTAAAATCCAACTCTCCTTGCAAGGAGAGTTGGAATAAGATCTGAAGCTATTTGTCTATATTAACTGAATGTGCATGAGGCTAGTCCAGAACTGGAGAAGTAATGGTCACTATAATTCCATATTTATGAAGTGAATCTTTACGAAATATGGCAAGCTCTTAGTCAACAGTACAAGTTTGTGGCGAACAAAAATTTGGATATTATTTTTTTTATAAATAAAAGTTACATGTTTGACTATTGACAGATGCACTTAACAATGCTAAAGTCTAGTACAAGGTTGTTTGAGTATTTGTTTTCTTAGACATTTTTAACTTCCAAGAGAAAAACAATCTTGTTTCGTGACTAACAAATCTCATTTAGATATCCTATGGTGCCCACAAAGAGTTTTTTGACAGTCAAGGACAGCTACAAGAGCTTGAAATACCACCTATAGACATCTTTATTGAGGAACATCACAGAGAGTACACCATTGATGACCTCATGCCCTTCACAACGTATCAAGTCAATATAACAGCTGTTCCTCCTGATCAGCTCTATCGTCCACCAACAAGAATAGCTGTTACAACAGCTAGAGCTGGTATGTAAACTAAACTTCTGTATATTCTAGTTTTCACTGATGTTTTGTTTATTGTCAAATTAAGGAGATGTTTCTGAAACTTTTATGTAGTTGAATATTGTTTTAACGTTGTATCTGATCACAGCTAGTCACAGATAGCCATAAATAATAGAACCTATGTGCATAGGTAGGAATCAGTGTTTGAATTCCACAACTTTCTACAGAGTGCCATTCAATATGATATTATGCATTTGGTGTCAGAATTATGAATATCTCCTGTGTTACTCTACACATCTGATTTTCCAACAGTTTCTATTAGAGTAGAAATAATACCAGATATAATGTATAGGGATACTGAAAACGACTTTAGATGTGGATTTAGGAGGCTGTAGAGATCATGTGAATGGAAGTTTCAAACTGTACAATGGACAAAAGGGTTTTTATTCTTCACATGAACATCACCTTGCACTTCAACTTTTCAGAGTCTGAGTCAGACTGATGTCAGAATTACACAGACATATCTTTGGTACAAAAACTTTATTAAACCATACAAGTTCAAAATGACTTCCAAGCAAACTACTGGTCACCTTTATAGGTCAAACTATTGGCACATTTCATCATCACACCCATTTTCCCGCAATCAGAGGTGTGTCCCATGACTTTTGGTAGGATAGTGTGTGTGTGTGTGTGTGTATATATATTGAATGATGAGTACATGGAAAGAGCTGAGAGTTTCAGAGGGAAAGGAAAGTTGGATGTTATTGGGGAAAATGTCTGTATGTGCTATTGTGCAATGATTAAACATTCCCAGGTTGACAGAAGAAATGGAAGTCTACAGGTGATAATGAGCCCAAGAAACGACCAGGTAGGCATAAAATACTGACTGACAGGAGCCGACGTTCCTTGAGAAGGCTGGTTACCTCATCTTGCCATCAGACTCTAGAGAATCTGTGTTTGGAAATGCAGAAAGCCACAGGCAATCCTAAAAGTGTTTCCACGAAATGTTGAAAGCTGCATGCCATGAATTTTCACAGAAGGGCTGCAGCCCACTAGCCATTGATAAAAACAAATGCACAGACTGGAGATGCTGCAGACATTATTTATTCAAGCTACAAATCCCTATTTTGACTCCACCAAATGTAATTCTAGCTAAGAGCATGGAGTGAAAACAGAGATTTGTAGCTTGAGGAAATAATGTCTACAGTATCTCCAGCTTTTTATGTTTCCCTTGTTTACTATCCCTATTTAAAGTTTTTAAATTATCAAGTTTTTATTTATTTTAGGTCTGAAACCTAAAACTTCTTTGTTTACTTTTTTGCAACTGCATTTTCACTTTAATGTAGCTATCTTGTTTCTTTATTTTTTTAAATCCATCATTGACATAAACATGTATAATAGCAATACTGTCATATCTGAAACAGTTTAGTTTCATGAAATACGTATTTGGTGTATGATGCTCTCTCAGGAAACAATGACAACCATTGGACTGGCTTCACGCAGATTGGATGGCTAATGCTCCTGATGTCATTGCGACAATGCTATCACTGGTAGTGGTACTGTATGTTTGATCACTATGATGTATGGTGATCAACATACCACACGTTATGTATATGCTTGTAATATATATATAGCTAATATATTTATATCCTGTAGCTATATAGGGAGTCTGTAAACACTGGATTGGAAGGACTACTGAATTACACTAGAATGGTGTATGGATTGGATTTTGTAACCACGAGTTATATATATAAATAAATAAATAGCTTACAAACTATTGAATTACATTAATTGTTTTATAGGCAATTAAATCACCACTATAAAACAATAATGAGTATAGCTACATGATATTGCAATACCGTTATCTGTCCTGGTTGTCAACTTATTGTCATAATGGATAATGTCTGTGGTAATAGCACCCAAATGCATTGGAGATATCCCATCTATCAGACAAAATCCAAACGCCAATGTCAATATGGTCAGCCGTCATGGAAAATCATAAAAAAAATCAATCAAATAAGGATACGAAGCTGAATGCTTATACCCACAACGTTTCAGCTTATACTGCCTTTTACTGTCTATAGCAGTTGTGGGAAGGCAGTTACCCTTTAATTTCTTAAAGTAGAAATTAACTGAAATAAAGCCACCTTAATATTTATACTAATTAAACTCCCGACCTCCACCCTTACAAAAAGATATCAAATATAACTATACACCCTACCTTAAAAGTTCTTATATTGTTCTAACTCCCAATCTCTTCCCCTTTTCCTGAAGATTTATGCAAGTATAACACGGGAATGCTGAGACAAGCCCAGCTACTTCCGTCCCAGTTATACTGAATAAAATTACTAGAAAAATTATTAATAGCTACTTATAAGCTAAAGTAACTAACTCTCTCTATATTTTATTTATAAGATATTTTCCTTAATAGATAGTTTAGTTTCTAAAATATTTTTGTATTTATTAAACCATAAAGTAAGGTATTTCTTTAATTGCCTGTTTTTATAGTCATTATCTTTCAATTTATTTTTCAATAATAAAACATTATCCTACTCTATTTGCAGTATCTATAAAATTCACAACCAAGCAGTATGGGCTATAAATCGATGGTAATTGCCAATTCAATGCTCAAACTGAGCTTGATTCTATCTTTTAAACTACAGCTTAAACATATCTGTTGTGGGAGACTAGCTGATATGGTTCACAATGATTTACTATAACTATTGACTATTTGATCGCATTAGTTTGAGATGTAAAAATTTAAGCTGCAGCTGGAGATTGTCAAGGAGATTTGTTTGGCAATATAGTGAACATTTATAGTTTCTGTGTAACTAAATTCTCTATGTATAATGCATAGCAATGGGCATACATATATGCCTAGACTAAGACACAACTCCCAATAAGTGAGTATTAAAATTTTATCAGTAGAAAAGCAACCTTTTTTGAATAAAACATATACATCTAAAACACTGCTTTAAATAAACCTTTGTCTTTTGTAATTATTCTATGAATGTGTGTAATAAAATCTAATATTATACGTATTGTTTTTTTTTTACTCCTTCACTTCATACATAATAAAAGGGTTGGCTCCCTAAAGACACTGACTGTATAGTGTACAAAGCATTGAGCATCTACATTTTACAATCAGCTAATATTCATCTGTTATTTTGCTGGTAATTCCTGCTTCACACTGTACTTAAGCTTCTTAAAGGAACACCAGATATTTGTAAGAAAACGAACTTAAAGGGATAACAATAACATCGTTTACACAAGAATTATGATTTTTTTAGCTTATGAAAAATATAGAAATAGAGCATTGGAAAGTCTCAAGTTACATGAATGTAAATTAAGAAATATTACATTGTAATAGCTTGAATTGTGTGAGATCTAACACAGAAACCTACTCTCCAAATGGTAATATTTATATTAATGATAAATAGAACAAAAGGGGGAGAAGTAAAAAAAAGAAGTGTCATTTTACATGTCAATATCCCATTATACTTGTGATAAAACATTAGTATTAGGCCTATTCAATTTTTAAATACTACATTCTTAATCTAGTCTCTTAGGGATTTTAAAGAATTAGAAGAGTGTATAATAATAACAGTATTCCAACCACACTATATTTATTGTATCCATCGCCAATGATGAGTTTCACTCAATCCAAAGCTCTTCAGGCCAGCTGGGATACAACAAATGCAGTAATGGCTTATATAAATATTATTCCAATTATTACTGTGTGGTGCTAGGAAAGAAAATTAAATTCCCTATCTAAGCCATACATACGTGTGAATTGCAGCAAGGATATGCACATTAACGAGCAGATAATAGAAACTTCATAAAGACAGTTGTCCCAAACAAGGAATTGTTATGTGACAAGTCGATTGAGACACATTGACAAGTTACGACACCAACTGTTTATATAAACAACTACTATCATAGCAGAGAGAAAAGCTACAGAAAGTTTATATTAATTAACTTCATTAACTACAGAAATGGAATGGTCAACAAAAAGGAGAGATACACACAAATAGGCAACTGATTAACAGCTGCTGACAATATCCAGTTAGTTTCTAGTTTTGTTTTAAAGAGTCAACAGTGAATCAGTATAAATGAACCAATTATATGAAGGGCCTACTTGTAGATTGGACCTGGAGAGCTATTTAGGGTATCATAAGAATACCCAGCAAAACATATAAAACCCCACGTTTTTCGGTTAAAAACGAGTTCTCTCCAGCATTTTCTGTACTAGTTCTCACCTGCATTCCTGTTATGAAGAAGATGGCCACTGTGCAGCCATTTTCCCAGTTCCCACAGGCAAACTGTCTGTCAGTTTCGATCTATATCTTCTCTAGTCTAACAACATATAGTATATTATGTTTAAATAAGTTCTCTACCTAAAACTGGATTATATCTGCATATATTTCACGTAATAATTTAGTAGATAATTCAACGTAGCGTGAGAATTACTGAATCTCATAGAAGGTTTACTTAATGAACAAAACAAAAACTTTGATATGTTTGATGAAGAACTATTTTAAGACAATTTTGGTACTTTCCATGTCAATGAATATGTCAGTATGTTAGGTATGGATGTAGAAGTTAACATTTTCCTAAACTGAAAATGTATTTCCAATAATACTTACCTCTGCTGACACTTTAGCTATTCCTCGACACTGGCTTTGCCTATCTAAACATTGGTCTTGCATGCTCCACTCTTTTATACCCCACTTAAATGTTCTTGGCAATATATAATTTGCAAACCCTCCACCCACGTCAATGCACCCTCTATCCTGACACTGTATATAAATACCTCCCTCAGATAATGTAATCACTTTTTCTAGACTTACACCATCCCAGTAACTAACAATGGCTCTTAGTGGGGAGAGTGTGAGAGGAGGTAAGTATTATTGGAAATACATTTTCAATTTAGGAAAATGTTAACTTTCAAAACATACTTACACTCTACTGCCACTTTAGCTAGAATCTCACATTGAGAAGGTGGAGGGGCCAGTGAGGGCATTGTCCATACAGAAAGCATCTGTATAGAACAGGGATGTACCAAGATAAGAGTGGTACCCATGTGGGGAAACTGCACTACATCCAGAACAGGTATGCTCTTCATCCAGAATTTAATATTGGTATCAAGGGTAGAATAGTACATGAGTAATTATTATAGGCTGGCCCCAACCAGATAGCCGAGGTTCCACAACTTGGAGTTGGAATTAAGGGGTCTTGATCCCTATATCCCATGTTGGTGGCAAGAGCAATTGGACCACAATGTTATATATAGATACACTTTTGACTGGATCCCAACCTATAGCCATAGAGTGATGTATTCCAAACCAACAGAATTACAATGAGAAAGGAAGCAACACTGAAGTGGACAAACCTTCTCTTAAATCTGAAGAAGTCGGAGAGATCATATACTCCTTACTCAACCAAAGGAACAGAACTCATCCAGTCTGAAATCTGAACATTCATCCTCACTCTCCAACTGATTGGGCAAGGAGCATTCCACTTGCCCCTGAAATTATGGAGAGGATGTGGAACACTGTGTTAAACCAAGAACCCAGGATGGGACCACTTCACATTCGGAATTATGAGGAGATAATGGACCTCCATCCATGAACAATATAAAACGTGACATTGTTCAGAAGAAGGGCTAAGCACAACCCAACCAGACAGCGTAGGGTCAAATCTGAACCCATATTAAGAGTAGGCTCCCACTGAGGCTGGTGCCACTCCTCCAACATCTGGTAAATACATCCAGGTACCCGGGAAGGAGGGCCCCAGCTTTGTCTTCTTCTCCAAGAGTGGAGGAACACACTTGACCACTCTGGAGAAAAAGCCTCTATCCACCACCCCAGCGACTAGGAAACTAGGTGTGTTAAGGACTCCCTAGCTCCACTAGTAGAATCTGGGGGTAATGGTCCATGAGTAGCTGTCCATAATAATATGGAAATACCATCTGGTAAGTTCCTAGATGGTCTTTTGGAACACCTAATTTCTACAGAGCCTGTTGCAATCAGTAGTAAGTATAGTCAAATGGGTTGCTAGTGCTGAATTGGATTGATAAAAGCACATCTTTATGGGCAACACTCACTTGAGATCGAGATCCGGTAAAAGCAAGATGTAAGAGACCCTGGAAAAGAAAGACAAGATTACTCCCTCCTTCATATAATCTAGCAGATGTTGTTAAAACAGCCAGGGGAGTAATGGAAAAAAACCCAAAGAAAACTGCCAGATCATATAAAGAATGTGAGAGAAAAGCATTGGGAGAAGTCCACACACAGGCCCATAAAATGTACCCCAGTGAATAAAAGAAATGAGCAGTGAAAGATATAAATGTGCCAAATATAATGTGATGTAACTTTCAGAAGATTCATCGCCTGTAAAATCCAGAATATGCAACATGGATATTTGCAAATCCACTTCCAAGGAAGTGGGGATAAATCTTAGGAACTGAAGGATCCAACAGTATACATAGGTGGGAACTATCATCACGAAAGTAGTTAGAGTAAGCCACATAACACCTCCAGAGCTGACAGATCAAAACAAATTATCATCATATGATCGACTGTAGAAATGAGAAATAGTTGGCAAAAGAATTGTGGAGAGGGATGTATCCCCTTCCCTGGTTGCCAGAGGCTAAGAAATAAAGGACCTATCAGGGTATAGAAGGACCTAAGGGGATAGAAAAAGAGTCCTACAAACGTGCCAACAACTCCAACCAATGATATCAGCATGTCAGCAGCAACAAAATCCCCATTAAGGGAGAGGTGAAATATGGTACATGAGGCTAAAGGCTCGAATGGTTGTTGAGACAAGGCATGTAGTACCACTGTAATATCTCGATTAAGTAATAAAAAAAAAACATTTGGGAAGATGACTGGATAGCACTTGGGAGTCTAAAACCATCAGATGTTCAGGTTAACTAAAAGGAGATGAAAAAGTTGTCTGACCTAAATGACAGGAGATGAAGCTATACCCAAGGAAAAAACAGATCAAAACAAGATATGGTGAACACGTTTACTAAAGTGGGTACAAACTTCTTGTCATGCACATCCCAGGCAACTGTAGACATTAAACCCCAATGAGCTGGAAAAAGTCTTGGTGTAGAATGTTGGGTTGCGGATGCCTTAATAAAGATAGCCAAAGAGGAAGATGCAGAGGTGGACTCACATGAAGAAACTGTAGAAGAGAAAGTAATGGTTATGCTGGCCAATCTAGGCAAGCAACATCTTGCAAATAGAGGATCGAAATATAGCCAGAACTCTGAGTAACAGATGAAATGAAAGAAAGTCAGATGTGCAATCCCATCTAATCAGGACTGAATATATTTACCATCCCAGCCTGAGGATGAGGTATTGGAGACTCCAAAGCTTGTAGTTGAGTATCAATGGATGGCTAAAGCTATCATTAGAGGCCCAAACTGAGAAAAAATCAATCGGAAAACCTCACAATGGAGAATACCTTTGGTCAGGAGAAAGTGAGAACTGAAACTGTCAATCTGTTGTGAAATCCATCACCCCAGGAAAATGGCAAGTCAAGAGGCTGATATGATTGGAATAGGCCCCATAGAGAAAGAACCAAATTTAAGAGACAACTAGAATTGATAAAATGTCTCATGAGGATATTCCCCCTGCAAGAGATCTAGACCTTGCACTATTGCCTGTTGGACAGCAAGAAGTTGTAAATGATTGATGCAGAAGGAAGATTCGTCGTCCATTCATATACCATGGAATTCCTGACCTTGAAGATATACACCACATTCTGAAGTGAAGTATCTGTGAAGAGAGAAACTATGGACAGAGGGGTAGTTTATATATATATATAGACACACATACACATGCATAAACAACCTACAGATACACATACATACATAAACACATACACACACACTAATAATAGAGTTGATCCAAACCAACCACCACTCAAAAACTGAGATGTTGCTCCTGATGAAAGGTACTGGAAAATCTAGTGGATTGAAGTTCCAGATCCATTACTTGCAATGGGACCACTGAAGGGATAGCATGTGACCTCATCCCAAAAAATTCAAGAGATTTGAGTGAAGCCCACAACCCCAGATATAAAACCATCCCTGTAAGTAAGAGCCTGACTGCCCATTCCATAGCCTGGAGTTGGATGGGAGGTGGCTGAGCTGGGCATAAAACATAGTGAAAACTTGTACAACCCAGCAGAAGACATATGGTGCTGATGCTAGACCAAAGGCTAGATCCATGTATACAAATCATAGCTAAAGGCAAGATGACTTCACAATGAGAATATAGAGAAATGCCTCAGTAACCTCAAACTTGGGCATCCATGGACCTGGTGAAAAATGCCAATGTAGGATGAGAAAGGACTCTGGAGATGAACAAAGAATGGGTTGAGATTAGAAAGAATGACAATCGTCCACGAATATCCCCTTGTCTCAGGCACAACATATAAACAGGAATAATATCACGGAAGAATGGGATTAACTGTCACTACCATCCCCATGATCAATAACTCTGACAGCTGCGAAACGAAAATCCACACCCTACTGTACAGGTGGATGTGGAAATACCACAGGGTGAGAGGATAATAGAGGTGGAGAATTGAATAAAAATACGAACCTCGATACCAGAACCTGAAGAACGCATGGATCTGCAGTGAAGGAATACCAGGTGTCCATCAATAGTTGTAACCTCACTCTAACTGACCCCCCTGGTTGATAGCGATGCCAACATTGGTGTTGGTCAGCCCAAATGGAGTGACCCTGAAACTAAGGTCTGAGTCTAGAGCCAAAAAAGGTTGAAATGTCAACAACAACAAAAAATGCAAATGGGTGACGGCAATTTACAATAAAAATGTCTCTGGGACACCTGCGAACATCAAATGACAAC